GTGTGATGGTATCTCAAAATTGTATGGCTCTAGGTCTTTTGGAAATAAAATAAAAAAAATCACCATTACTGATCACTTTCACACTGCCCTTGCTGAGTATTTAGCAGATGAAAATCAGCAGTTCTGGTGCTCTCCACATAAATTTGACTCCATAGTCAAAAGCAGAAATGCATCAGATGCTCTCAATAACTCCATACCTGGGAGTTAGAGATACTTATTAAGAACGGCTTTGCTAATTCTGAATTCAGTATTCCATTGAATTTGAATATTGACAGGCTTAGTGTTAACCTGATATTGCATGCATGTTTGAGCTGCAGCACGTTAAAGCTGTATTTTTTAACGACAGAATCTCTTCAAGTCTGCATTTCACTGTTGGTTTCCTATAATAGGAATAGGTAAAACTTTGCTTGGAATTACATAGAACGAGTGTACAAATAGAGAACTAGACCCTTATCCCTATATGCTCATATGCAAATCTTTATCCTTATGTACAAATACATTGAGCTGCTGACTAAAACAACCAGTACCTAACTAACAACAGAAAGATTTTTGTTTTTTTAGGTCTTTAAATATTTAAATGAATACAAGATTTGCACACAGAACAAAAAACCCCAATGCCTTAAGACAAAAAGAAGCAGACTACAATTCAAAAATGGTATAAAATAGGCAATAACATGAGTATTATGTGTACAACTGGCAGATGAATGAGTGTTAAACAAGAAAGATGATAACTGGAATCAGGCTAGCTGTTTTGAGTAGTAGACCCAATTTTCTTTGCTTTTGGTGGTAGTAAGGACGACTGTTAGTAGGTCCAGTTGGATTTCAGAGGTAATTACTCTTCTGGCTAACAAAAGTCCAAATTATGTCCCTGTTATATTCCCTACCAATGATCCTTTAGACGGAGACAAGAAATAAGCCATCCAGATGAGCTTTCAAGTTGCCATGAAGTAGCTGTATAGCCCGCTATTGAGGAACCTGAGTGGGCATACACACAATGTCACTGTGCTACTGGAGGCCTTAGATGGTGCCTACTATATACAAAGTTAGCCAGAAACCTCTTTATAACCATCAATAATGTGGGAGGTGCGTGTATATGATATCACATGATAGCCTTTGCGCTATGCTGACCTCTGATACTGGAGCTTACGGGATAATTGGTACGCTCCTGGTCCTGCAGGACGTATAGAACTAGTGCTGTTAGAAACTGTTATTGAGATGAGAAAAAAATGTTTGCAGGCTGAGTGTCTTTGTAATTGTCCTGAATCTTATTTTTTTTAACAATTACACCACTATAGGAATATTTTAAAGAAATGGTGTGTTTAGCTTTATTTTATCTTTATAGCTTCCCATATAAATACATTGTTGTTTC